AAAAAAAAAAAAAAAAAAAAAAAAAAAAAAAAAGTGTCCTATTCCAGAATAACGCTAACAACAGCACACAAGAACTTGTAAAAATACAAATAAATTTGAACTCATCTTATATACCTAAACTTGATGCACAAACTAATGTTTGACATAGAATTGCCCCAATTACCTCATTAGGTTTTTTATCATATTTTCATAACATACTCTGCTAAATTCGCAAAGGTTTTCATTAATATTTGTGTAATTCTTCCGTATTTAATCTTTTCAAAGTCATTTACATTATGACACCAATTACTAACCGAATACCAAAAATCAGCAGGGGTATTTAGGCAACTGATTAGTTGCTTAGTAGATGATTACAACAAAAATTTGCATACAAAAAGGAAACTAAGCAGAGAATCTACTATTTCGGATTCTCAGATTAGTGAAAATTTGATTAATAGTGCTGCAAGTACCAAGTGACGGCGCTTAAAGCATAGGGTGTCTTGAAAAGAAAATGCAAAAATAATAACATAAATTAAGAAATAAAATTCAGTAAAACTATAATTTTTAAAGGGTTAAAATATAATTAATAAAAATGAAATTAATTTTATAAAAGTATGAAATTGAATACTCTATGACACGTTTGCAATTTTGTTTATTTGATAAATTTTATGATAAATTTAAATGATATTAAAATTTACGAATATTTAAGTATTTCACTCTTAACATACGTTTCGCTTTTGCTGTTGATACGAGTGCTGCCAAGGCATTTGCATACAACAAACTAATCAGATTACACTTTTTGGGTCGTTCAAGCAACTGATTAACATCAAAATGCTATTTTTTTTTATATGAGATTTCTGAATCAACTAAGCAACTAATCACTTGCCTGAATACCTCTAGCATTTCTTATCGTCGAACTGACGGGCTGGCTTTAGTCAGCAACTGCCAACATGCAAATAACCTTGCCTATTTTTAGGGAAATGTACGATCAACTAAGATCGTACTCTTACACATATTTCACGGAAAAACTGCAAAACGTAAAGTTTAATAAAATAATCATTAAACTCACAACAAACTTTTCTTCATTCATAATACCAAGGATCAGCCAACTGTAAATTATTCAGATGAAGTTACTTGGACTGGATCTGCATACTGAGTAATGTGGATGTAAGTGGCAGCACTATAGCCTCAAGTTCATAAATATCTTTCGGATCATAAACGGAGTACATAGTAAGTCTCATTTTTGCAACTGTAACGACATTTATGTTCGTTTTGTTGCGTTGATACGGAATATGGAACCTTTGATCAAGATCTTCTGTAATTAAACTCGTCTGCGAACCAGAATCAATCAAAGCCCTTACCGTATATTGTTTTTGCATCTTGCTTCCTAAATTTACCATTGCTTTTCCAAGTAACACTATTTGGCTTTCTTTGATGGTGGTACTTAATGCTACTTCTGCTGTTGAATGCTTTTGTTTTGCTTTTACGAGGGCTGATATATATATTTCTGGCCTAATAATGAAAATGCGAATATTTATCATCAAAAATGGTTTTATTGTTTTTCTAAATATTCTCCAGCCTGATTTAAACACTTTTGCATACGCTCAAACCAATTGTCGAAGCACTTTTTCCACTCCAATTGAGACACCTCCAAAACATGGTTTTTGAATGCTTCAACAGCATCTTCTGGCGACGAAAATCGTTGACCATGCATTTTTTTCTTGATGTGCGGGAATGAAAAGAAGTCATTGGGCGCCACGTCAGGGCTGTACGGCGGATGACCCATCAATTTGACGGATGACCCATTATTTTGATGCCCATACGCATAGATCCATGATTCGTCACTTGTGACGATCTCATAAACGTCTTTTGAAGCACTGCGAACGTATTTTTTCAATATTTCTTTGCACCAATCGTCACGAGCCTTTTTTGAGCGATTGTCAAATTGTGCGGGATCCAACGAGAACAATCCTTTTTTACAGTCAGGTGTTCATGCAATATCGAATGTATGCTGGTGGGAAAAATACCCAAGGATGCCTGTATCTCACGGTATGTCACATGACGATTTTGCATTATCAGTTCACGCACGGCATCAATGTTCTCTGGCACAACGTCCGTTTCTGGACGAACTTCACAGAATTCGTCGTTGAGCGAGCGTCGGCCACGATTGAATTCATTAAACCAGTTTTTCACAGTGCTATAGGGTGGTGCTTCATCACCATACAAAGATTTAAGTTCATCAATGCACTCTTGTCGTGATAATCGACGTCGAAAGTTGTGAAAAATAGTCGCGCGAAAATGTTCACGTGTTAATTCCATTTTTTGGCCGAGACGAATTTTTTAAGTCTCTGTAAATAAAACAATTCACAATTAAATGACAACACATTCTGAGTGATGTTTTGCTCAAAAATGTCAACCTTTCCAGTGGAAATGTCAGATTGCACCTGGCAACACTTAGTGTTGCCTAGGCCAGAAATATATATATTTTTTTTTTTTTTGGTGTGTCCATATTTTTGACAGTTGGTACATTGTGGTATTGTTCTTTTTGGATGGGGAGGTTCAAAATTTATTTTGCAGTGCAGTAGGTCCTTGATATTGTAAATTTCCTTGTTATTTACATCATGTTTCATTTCGATTGATTAACGGAGATTTTGTGCGCGGATGTAATACGTTTTGTATATTGCATACTTCATGTCCTAGTTCAGCTAGCTCTAATATAATTTCATTTTTGTTAGCGGAGTGGTGCATACCGCGTAGGAAGATCTTAAACCCTTATAGAAGATCTTTTTTGGCTTATACGTGTAGTACTCTACGCTCTTTTCCTTAAGAAATTTTACTATGCTAGTGTAATCTGTTGATTCGTATGGCTGGATTTTTATTTCATTGTTTTGTAATACACGAATTTCATATTTAGATATTTGTAGTGCATCTAACGTTTTAATTAGGTTGTCTAGTAGCTGTACTTTTTGCACGTAAATGGGTGGTGGTTTTTTATTTTTAGCCGTTTGATTTTGTGTTGTTTTGCTATCTTTAGTGGGTTCTTTATCATTATCAGTTGCTAGAACAGCAAACTTATTTGTAGCTAAGAAATATTCCTTTAATGTGTACTGTTTTTTGTTTTGTTTGTGCTTTTTGGCGTTTATTTCATTGATTTGCTTACCAGGGGAGCTAGGAATTTTCTTATTCACTACTGGCGTGTTGAAGCCATTGTTTTTATTTGTGTTTGCATCTTCCGTCGTGTTTGCAGTTCTGGTGTTAATATCAGAGTTTTCCAAATTCTGAATGAGTTTTGATGGTGAATTGTGTTGATGATGGTTTGATTGTTGGAGTTTTATGTGGTACTCCTGCTGCATTTGTTTTTTCTCTATTTGCTGGTTCTCTTGTGGTTGTTTTTGTTGGGTTTGCAATGATTTTTCCTCCAGTTGATTTGATTGTAGAAGTGTTGTTTGATTATTATTATTGGATGCTTTTGAGCATAGGACAGCTTGTTGGTGCGTTTTATGCTGTTGTTGTTGTTCTTGCTGTGATTGTTGCTCGTGATTTCACTCGCCTCCACCTTTTGGTGGAGTTCGATTGACCGGCATTACGATAAATTAAGCGATTACCAAAATAGGATATGAAATTGGAGTTTTCTACTTGACAATAAAGGTTACTATTATGAACAGTTTGAGGATGACTGATCTTGTGTTATAACACTTTTAATATAATGGTTTGTGTACATACTAATCAAAGAATAGGTTGTATATGCTGTCTCAGCTGAATACTTTAATTTTGTGTAATTACTACGAACAGCTTTTTCACTAATAAAATAAAATATAATAATAGCTGTCTCTATCAGCACTTTTTGTTTTGTTTATATATACACAAAACCGCACTGTTTTTTTGTTTGAATGCTTATTCACTTTTGATTATAAGCTTTAGAAATTAATTTGCTGCCTCTGTCAGCTGTTTGAGTTTTTTAATAAAGTTGTGCAAAAAGAAAAAAAGTCAACAAAAATCGAAAAAAGCGCGCGCTATTTTCAAATTAATATTTTATGCACTTTAAACTTTTACTAATTGTTTTTTGCCCAAAAATGATCTATTTTTGTGAATTTGTATTAATAACAAAAGTGATATTTATAAGAGTATATCTTATTTACTTGTTTTTATACTGTTATTTTATATTATTATTTCTTCGAGACCGGTTAAAAAACACGTCCGTTCACTACGAAACTTTATAACATAATGAATTATTATATCATCTGTGCATTAATTTTAATTATTTTGTAATATTTAATTTATTTAATTTAAAGAAAAGTTTTCTTTTTATCCACTATTAATAGTTCACTCATGTTATTCTTAATCTTGTTTTTGAATTATTACTTGAAGTTCCATTATGTAAAAATGTATACTAAATGCTAAATTTTGGCAGTTGTATAATAACGTTGAATTGACGTTTCACCTCCATAACCAAAAGTTTCACACGATACAATCTTCACATTAGTAAATTTTTGAAAAAAAACAATGAGTTCAGGTTTAAGTTACATTCAATTTTTTTTATATCGTAACCTTTCTATATAATTAATGTTTAACACTCATTCATTTGTGTTGAAACGGAAAACACAATTCTAACCAACAGTTACACAATATTCATATTAGCCAATCCTTAAAATTAATTTAGTAGTATCAGTTTTAAAACTTCAGTTAAGCTCTTTATTTGATAGCACAACACACTCTTCACGTTAGTGTCCTATTCCAGAATAACGCTAACAACAGCACACAAGAACTTGTAAAAATACAAATAAACTTGAACTCATCTTATATACCTAAACTTGATGCAAAACCTAATGTTCGACCTAGAATTGCCCCAATTACCTCATTAGGTTTTTTATCATATTTTCATAACATACTCTGCTAAATTCGCAAAGGTTTTCATTAATATTTGTGTAATTCTTCCGTATTTAATCTTTTCAAAGTCATTTACATTATGACACCAATTACTAACCGAATACCAAAAATCAGCAGGGGTATTTAGGCAACTGATTAGTTGCTTAGTAGACGATTACAACAAAAATTTGCATACAAAAAAGAAACTAAGCAGAGAATCTACTATTTCGGATTCTCAGATTAGTGAAAATTTGATTAATAGTGCTGCAAGTACCAAGTGACGGCGCTTAAAGCATAGGGTGTCTTGAAAAGAAAATGCAAAAATAATAACATAAATTAAGAAATAAAATTCAGTAAAACTATAATTTTTAAAGGATTAAAATATAATTAATAAAAATGAAATTAATTTTATAAAAGTATAAAATTGAATACTCTATGACACGTTTGCAATTTTGTTTATTTGATAAATTTTATGATAAATTTAAATGATATTAAAATTTACGAATATTTAAGTATTTCACTCTTAACATACGTTTCGCTTTTGCTGTTGATACGAGTGCTGCCAAGGCATTTGCATACAACAAACTAATCAGATTACACCTTTTGGGTCGTTCAAGCAACTGATTAACATCAAAATGCAATTTTTTTTATATGAGATTTCTGAATCAACTAAGCAACTAATCACTTGCCTGAATACCTCTAGCATTTCTTATCGTCGAACTGACGGGCTGGCTTTAGTCAGCAACTGCCAACATGCAAATAACCTTGCCTATTTTTAGGGAAATGTACGATCAACTAAGATCGTACTCTTACACATATTTCACGGAAAAACTGCAAAACGTAAAGTTTAATAAAATAATCATTAAACTCACAACAAACTTTTCTTCATTCATAATACCAAGAATCAGCCAACTGTAAATTATTCAGATGAAGTTACTTGGACTGGATCTGCATACTGAGTAATGTGGATGTAAGTGGCAGACTTTGCAAGCTGGCAAAGTCTGAATGGCTAAACAATACTCTAGCGTCTCAGGGAGTAGGTGGCGGTAAAGACCGTCCACTAAGTTCCAGCTTATCAGCCAGACTCGTAAGGGTAAGTGCGACAATCTCTCAGGCTGATGGGAAGCTCTTGATATGGTCATGTCTCTGCCAAGGGTGGACTGCTGATTGTCGGGCTGGGAAGAGAAAACTTCCCGGGTACGTATTTATAGTAATTATTGTTTTGATATGTGTAGCTTTCAAATTTGTACGATACCTATAAAAACCCCCAAATCTGAGGTAGACTGTTACGCCGAGGATGCTTGACTGGAGGGGTGCATCCAGTCTTTTAGTAATGAACTCAGGATACCGGGCACTCTCCTGTTTTAATTAATGCCCTCTCAAAGTATGGGGCTCTGCTTTGGGTGACTGTTCTTTCCCTTATATTAAACACTGTATATGGAAAATAAACTAAATATACCAATTAATAATATAATTACAGAGTCAGAGGAAGAAGCTCTACTCCGTTCGCCAACGAAGGTTGGAGGAAATCTTGAAAAGAGGCTTGAAGCATCTCTCAAGATTCAGGATCTGGATGATCTGAACCCATCTGCTCAGAGACCAATGGTATCAAGCGGTGGGAACACCTCTCCGGTGATTGACACCCAGAGTCCTATGGACACAGGTGACCACGATGGCGCTGCGTCTAATGCTAATACCCAGAGCATGATGAACTCAGGTGACGGCAACATAGAGACCAGGAAGAAAGCGGAATACTTCACCGGGGCTCAGAAAAGACGCATCAAGGCCATGATTAGGGATGGATTGGATTTGGAGACTGCGAAGCAGAAAGAGAGAGAGCGATACTCTCTCTACAAAGCTTCCTTGGCAGCAGAAGGAGAAAGTGACAGACCCAGTACCAGCAAAAGGTGCAGATCTAATAACACATCTCCCGAAGAAACACAACGCCCGCAGCCCAAAAAGCCAAAAGCCACTCAACACACATCTAGCTCTACCGGAAACCAGCTAAAACCGACTCCATCTTACAGGGATGTAGCCAATGCTTGCAAAGTGGCTATCGCCCATGAGAAATATCCGGAGGTGAATCTAACTGGTGACCAAATGGAGTTGATAAAATCGAAGCTCCTGGAAGAAATTGACAAACTTCCCAAGCACAATAGTGTCTACGGCTTCATCACCAGTGTTAACAGAGACGGATGGCTCTCATTAACATGCTGCAATGGTGAAACGAGGAACTGGCTGACCACCTGTGTCCCAAAACTCAAACCATTCCCGGATGCTATTCTCAAAGTGTTTCAGGGCGAAGAGATGCCCAAAACCTATGTGTGCATCACATTTATTCCCCCCTCTGCTGTGCTACCACCAGAAATTCTGATGTCCCGATTGGAAAAACAAAATGGTGGCATTTGCACATCATCGTGGAGAATTCTCAGGACTGAGAAAGATAAGAATGGTGGGGAAACCGTTACGATCTCGGTGGACGAAAAATCCAAAAATTGGATAGTCGGTCAGGCAGGGAAGCTGTATCTGAACTTCACACAAATTCACGTACGTGTGAAGGGAGAGCCAACTGGACCCAAGAAACTGACGACAAAAAGGCCATTTACGACAGAGAAACCCAGTGACGTCAAGCAACAGGTGCCTCCATCCAAAAGGCCGCTTTCAGGTGATAGACCCAGTACCTCAAAAGCACAGGCAGATAAGCCAAGTGAGACGGTTAAGGTCACACGGGACAGCACCCGAACTGAAGTCGGACCCAGCACCTCAAAACAGCAGGGTGGCACACCGGTATCTAGTATAAAGGACCAGAAGCAAGGGCCAAAGAAACCAGCTTCAAGATCCCCTCGACAGGAAGCACCCACTCATGGGACAAAATTGCCCAAGTGGATGCGGAACGGTAAAGGACGATACCAATAAAATGATGAGGTGCCTGCAGGTTAATCTTCAACACGCCAAAGCTGCTACGGCGGTGTTGACACAGCGACTTCTATCTGAAAAGATTGACCTAGCCTTTATCCAGGAGCCATATGTATATGAGAACCAGATAAAGGGAATAAAAGGTAAGCTACTGTACGATCATGCCAGCCATGGTCGACCTCATGCTTGTATTGTGGTAAGAGATGACATTAATGCTTTCATTATTCCACAGCACACCAACAAGGACCAGGTAGCAGCTATAATTTCTGTGGACACCCCAGTAAGTAAGACAGAGCTCATTGTCTGCTCATCTTACCTACCTGGAGACTCCCAAGACCTGGACTTCCTATCACTGAAAGGACTAGTAGACTACAGTGTTAAAAGCAAGAGGCAACTCATCGTTGGAAGTGACGCTAATGCACACCACACGATCTGGGGCAGCACCGACATCAATAAAAGAGGTGAGTGTCTATTTGAATTTATAACTGGTAACAACCTATATATTTTGAATACGGGCAATAAGCCCACTTTTATAAACAGAATCAGGGAAGAGGTATTAGACATCACCCTAGCAACACAATTTACAAAACATTTTTTCAAAAACTGGAATGTTTCAGCAGAAACATCCATGTCTGATCATCGTCAGATTAGATTTGATATTGATCTAAATATGAAGGTAAGGGAATCGTCCGGAGAAAAATAAGACCGGCAACAGAAGTGCACCATGGTGGAATAAAAAGTTAGCCAAGCTAAGAGTCGAATCCCGGAGACTCTTCAACAAGGCAAAAACCAACGGTGAATGGGACAATTATAAAAATGCCCTCACCGCCTACAATAAAGAAATTAGAAGGGCAAAAAGAGAATCATGGAGAGGCTTTTGCTCAGAGATTCAAAACTTAAGCAATAGTGCAAAAATCCACAGGGTTATCTCGAAAAGCCACACTAATCCCATTGGGCTTCTAAAACGATCTGATGGTCTTTATACCAATGACTGCAAAGAGTCACTTATACTTCTAACAGAAGTACACTTTCCGGGATCTACAATTTACGACCAATCAATCTCCCAGCTTAGTTCCCTGGTGACCAAAAGGCCCAGAAACAATGACTGGAAGATTGCTCGTAAAATCTTCACTGAAGATAAAATTAAATGGGCGATCAACTCATTTTCTCCTTTCAAAGCACCTGGAGCAGATGGAATATTTCCAGCACTCCTACAAAAGGGACTAACTGACCTTATGCCCTACCTCATTAATATCTTTAGAGCTGGGCTGGCGATGGGAATCATTCCCACTAATTGGAAGGAAGCAATTGTCAAATACATACCTAAAGGAGGAGGTAAACCTAGCGAACTTCCTAAATCCCATAGGCCTATAAGTTTGTCTACATTTCTTTTAAAAACTATGGAGAAGATAGTGGAAAGGCATATAAGGGAAGAGTATTTATCTATAAATCCACTCCACGCCAACCAATACGCCTACCAACAAAATAAATCCACCACACATGCATTACTCAGTCTTACTAATAAAATACAGGAGTCTGTAGATTGCAAAGAATATGCGGTGGGATGCTTTCTTGATATTAAGGGAGCGTTTGATAATACTGATCACTCACATATCGAAAGATGCCTCCATGACAGAGGAGTAGATGATACGACACGCACATGGATAAGCAATGTACTAAGAAATAGAATGGTTAAATCCACTCTCGGCAATGCCGAAATAAAAGCACATACTGTAAAAGGATGCCCACAAGGGGGTGTATTATCCCCACTCCTGTGGTCAATTGCAGTAGACGAGCTCTTGCATCGACTCAGTGCCAAACATTTCGAGGCACAAGGCTATGCTGACGATATAGTCATACTTGTCAGGGGTAAATATGAAGACATCATCTCATATCGACTCCAACAAGCCCTGAACATCGTTAGTAGATGGTGCAGTGAAGTAGGATTAAATGTAAATCCTAAGAAAAAAGTCTGGTAGTCTTCACAAAGAAAAGGAAGAGAGTACTTTCCAATTACCATTCCTAAATGGAGAAGAGCTATCATCCGTTACCCAAGTAAAATACCTGGGAATGATTCTAGATGAGAAGTTGACGTGGAATTTTCATGTAGACAATGTTATACGAAGAGCCAGAGAGGCATTATGGACCAGCAGAAACCTCATTGGTAAGCACTGGGGCCTTAATCCAAAACTCAGCCTTTGGATGTACACATCTATTGCCAGACCAATTGTAACTTATGGGTCAGCTATCTGGTACAAAAAAGCACAACAGAAGACTGTAATAGATAAACTTCGCAAGCTGCAGAGATTAGCCTGCATAATGACAAGTGGAGCGATGAGAACTACCCCGACAGCAGCCCTAGAGGTTGCATTGGGGCTCCCCCCACTTCACCTACTAGTCAAAAAGGAAGCAATGACTTTTATGGCCAAACTACAGTTGACTAGCAATCAATCAACAAGACTACTCGATAACTCCCTGTTAGGTAGGGAAATGCAAAGAGAGGAAGGACTAAATATCACCATATCTGACATTTGCTTACCTAAATTCAACTTTCACCAAAAGTTCCTAATACTAATACCAGACAGAAATGAATGGGAACGGAACATACCTCCATTCGCTGGAGACTACCATCTGTGGTACACGGATGGCTCCAAAACGATGGAAGGAGTGGGGGCGGGAGTATATGGAGTAAGACCTAAAGAGGAAATATTTGCGAGTATGAGGAAAGAAAACTCAGTTTTTCAGGCTGAAGTACATGCAATTGAATTATGTCTCAGGGTATATAAAGGTAAACCCGTCACGGGAAAAAACATATACATCTTTATACATCTTCATCTTTCTTTTCTACATCTTTCTAACTGGACACTGCGGAGTTAAAAAACATTTATTGAATCTAGGTATTACTGGAGACGATAGCTGTAGACTTTGTTACGAAGAAGAGGAAACAGCAGAACACATATTGTGTCACTGTGATAGTCTTGCAAGACTCAGACTTCGCTACTTATCCATTGCCTATCCGCTTATAACGGAAGTAGGCAACATCTCTCCAAAGGACATACTGGCATTCTTAACTGCTACTCGTCTATGGAACTGAAGTGGGTATGTCACAATAATCCTCGAGGATGCAGTGACGCGGAGACTACTTCCCAACCCTTCTTTTGAATAAAAAAAAAAAAAAAAAAAA